TTTTATATGTTTAATAATTTATTTGATGTACAAAAACTGTAACTGAATTTTTCAATGATATCAAAATATTGAATAAATTCATATATCTTAGATAAACAATGGAACAGTCTTTCACATTTAAGTCCATTCATAAGGGTCATTAAGTACTTCTTTCAACATCAGTTTCCTGGTTTTCTTCACATCACTTATGATCTGCAATATTCATACAAAATTATTATATGATGTCAGAATTATAATGCTTGAATATAACTTAGAAATCTGAAAGATCAGTCAATGTCCTTTAATATACCAATATCAACAAGAAATCTGTGAGCCAATGCTCACTAGTAATACCCCCGCTTTGATGTAAATAAGCACTATCATGTTAATAAACTGTTTACACAAGTTCAATTACAGGCAGATGAAGTTGACATCATATTCATATCAAAATTAAACCCACCATATGACATGCCTCAACAAAGTCGGTAATTAAATTTCAAGCATCTGCTATGAATAACTAATGAGAAAACTGCTTAGAAAATTTGTTATGTATGAAACTGACAGAAGCACAGACAAACAGGAAGTTGACATCAGATTTAAACAAAAATGTATCCCACCATATGGCATGCCTCAGAGAAGATTGTGTTAAAATTTCAAGCATCTACATTGAGTAGTTGCTGAGAAAACTGCGACGAAAATTTGTTATGTATGAAACGGACAGACACACAGACAAACAAGAAGATGACATCGGATTTAAACAAAAATGTATCCCACCATATGGCATGCCTCAGAGAAGATTGTGTTAAAATTTCAAGCATCTACGTTGCGTAGTTGCTGAGAAAACTGCTACGAAAATTTGTTATGAAACTGACAGACGCACAGACAAACAGGAAGTTGACTTCGGATTTAAACAAAAATGTATCCCACCATATGGCATGCCTCAGAGAAGATTGTTTTAAAATTTCAAGCATCTATGATGAGTAGTTGCTGAGAAAACTGCGACGAAAATTTGTTTCGGATGGACACACAGCTACACAGACAGACGGACAGACAGACACACAAGGGTAAAACAGTATACCCCCCTCTCCTTCGGAGCGGGGGTATAATAATTACTTTAGATGACCATGATACATATGATTTCAGCACTTAATGTATCTCTTTAATATTTAATGCTTTATGATAAGTGAAAAAAAAATAACATAATAAAAAATAATGTTTTCAGCCTTATTGTGTCATTGAAAATATATTACTACATGTATCTCATACTAAGAACCCTGCTTTAAGTTTGATTAGTTTGAGAGAAAACATACCCTTTATAATAACAAAAATATTAGGGACAGATTTTTTTTTTAATTTTGATATTCGACCTAGAAATTGGTTGAAGATCATTGCAGACCCTCCAACCCATTGCACAAAAGCTAGATTACACCAGGGGAGAAATATACTCTGGACTACAATTTTAAATAAAGATAAACAGTAAATTTTGATACTGACCTTTGACCTAGAAAATTAGTCCAAGGTCACTCTTCATCCTCTATCCACAGGCTCTCTGTAGTTTAAGTTTGAGAGAGAAATATGCACAGAACAAGTGATATCAGATGGAGTGATGGGTAGACACTGTCTTAGGGCATCCACATAACAGGACCTAAAAATAATGCAATATACATGTATTACAGTATATATACACATGTACTTGTATGTTAATGATTTATCATATGCTGCATTGGACACCTATGATTTTATCATGGTTTAAGTATACATGTATCTTATGAGTAATTTTATACCGGTATTGCATGTACGCTCAGTTTATTTAAGAAATAAATAACAAGTTTATAAACTTCAATGGGAGAGATACCACAAATGTATATATAAACAAGTAATTTAATTTTTTTTGTTGCATATATTGACCAACATTATTTACATCCATTCATCATGTTCATGAATTGGCTGATCAAAATTCAGTCAGTTTTAGATCTATATGATATACCATAAAGGACTTTCACATTTACAAAAGTTATTCCCCTTCGCAGGGTCGATCTGGGGTCAACCAGCTTAAGACGCTGTTTTCCCTCTTTAACCGTATCAACTTTGAGGGACAATATCTTAGAAATAAAATCTGTATGAACATATTCATTATGATTTTCATGTTGCCCCATACTCTGGCAATACAGATCATAATTGTCCAATATTTTTGAAGATTGAAAATATTAACAACAGGGTATTATTTAATCTCGGAATAATTATATGCTTCGGAATTTAACAAAATGTCGGTTTTTAATGTAGACCATATCTGTAGATTGTAGAAGCAGATCTACCTGTTGACATTTGCTGTAGAAGTCTTTCTATATAATGTAGAAGAATAAACCATGTTGAAATTTGCCGTAGAACCCTTTCTAAATAAGGTAGAAGAATAAATCATGTTGAAATTAGCCGTAGAACCCTTTCTATGTAATGGAGAAGAATAATTCATGTCTTTTTGTTTATAAAATATGTTTCATTCATGTATTTTCTTAACTTTATTCTTCTTTGTTCTTTATTTTGTACTGGGGTATATGTGTCTACTTTTATGTGCTTGTTGAAATTGTTCTACGTTCCGTAGTCGTGCCGGGCACGGACTACGCATACTACGCATGCGTCTGATCCGAGTCTCCGCTGTGTTGAATGACCCAGCAGTTTTGCCTACTACCGATTTCATAACGAAATAACTCACGAAAAACGAAAATACATACCGATACATATTCACTAGGACCACTGCAAACACTTACAAATATTTTTACAGCCTAAACATCGTTTAAATCCATTGAATAGCTAGAAAAACGCGTCCATGTTAACACCTCCAATGTTCCTACACAGTGCTGCAGTTCGACGTCACTTTTCAAAATACGACGTCATAGGTACTTTGTTTTCCCGAACTTTCTAAAGCAAAATGGCGAATAGCATTGTAAGTAATATTATACAATTATTGCTGGTTTTTGAGGTCAATACAATGCTTTAGCCATCTGAGGAGTACAATATTCATCGAGCCCGAAGGGCGAGGTGAATATTGTACTTCGAAGATGGCTAAATCATTGTATTGACCGAAAAAAACAGCAATAATTGTTTTATTATATGATTCACTAATAAAATGATACAGCTCATTACTTGTTTTGCATTTTATTAAGTCCTAGCCAAATACAAGAGAGATGCAGAATTAAAATGTGAATAAACCTTACCAGTCGTATCAATTTGAAATGTTTTTTTAATCAATTTTAGTTGCCATGAAAGAAATATATAATGTCAGTCTTTTTATATATTTTGAAAGGAATGAGTATTATCAGTTAAAACTGACCTCCAAAAAGTAAAAAAAAAAAGTGTTGTTCAGTAAAAGTGTTGGGGGGGGGGCATCCCCTCTTACCCCATCACCTAAAATATATATTCACTTATGTTTTGTTCACATGAAAATAAAAATCATAGTCGTTTAAATAGCTTCCAGAACAATTTGTATCAATTTGGAATTTCCCAATCTATTTTTAGATCAATGTAGAGGAAATAAATCCTTGTATTGACCTGGAACGTCACGTGCAAGTCAATACAACGTAATATTTTTCTAACATAGTTGGATCTCAGCCAATCAGAGAGATGGAAATTATTCAATCATATAATAAAAGGTATTATGTCGCTGTAAAATAATACAGGCAGATTATTCTTCATGCCAAAAGTTCCCTTTTACCTAAGAAATCAAACACCACAAAAGCAAACAGAAGTGAAAAGTTTTTAGTACAGAAAACAAGCTGTAAAAATTGGAAGATCCAGGATCCACCCACGTGCTTCGCCTCCGCTAAGAGGTGCATATTTAGTGTGCAAGTCTCAAGTTTTCAAGCTTCTGTGACGTCACGCTCACGGACCTGTTTACTACAGAGGAATCAAGATAATACAAGAAAATCGGATGGGCTGAATTATCTATAAAAAATAAATTATATAAATAAAATATGTTTAAATTTAATTTGAATGATTGTGTGTAACGTTTACGATTTGCATGAATGAAGACCTATGTAAATTTACATGTGGAATGAGGAATGTCAATCAATTAAAACAATCAAAATTAAACACTTTCTAGATCCTCTCCACTGGGTGAAAAAAGTGGTTTCCCATCATGGGAAACTTTATGGAAACCACATGGAAACCTCAAGTTTACATCATGTTTCCCAGTGGTTTCCGTAGCGGATGCTAGGTTATTCCGCCAAGTTTCCGTGACACGGAAACCCCCTACGCTCCGATTCCATAAGGTATCCCGAACCACGGAAACCTCTGTAAACTTGAAGTTTCCCGAACATCCATGTAGTTTCCCGTAATGGGAAACCTGAAGATTCCACTGGTTTCCAGAATCAGGAAACTTGATGGAATCGGAGCGTAGGGGGTTTCCGTGGAATGGAAACTTGGTGGAATCTTTATGTTTCCTTTTATGGGAAACTACATGAAAGCTCGGGAAACCTCACGATTCCTAAAGTTTCCTTGACTCAGGAAACCATATGGAATCGGAGCGTAGTGGTTTCCGTGGAATGGAAACTTGATGGAATCTTTAGGTTTCCTTATATGGGAAACTACATGGAAGCTCGGGAAACCTAACGATTCCTAAAGTTTCCTCGGCTCAGGAAACCATATGGAATATGAGCGTAGTGGTTTCCGTGGAATGGAAACTTGATGGAATCTTAAGGTTTTCTTTTATGGGAAACTACATGGAAGCTCGTGAAACCTTATGATTCCTGAAGTTTCCTTGACTCAGGAAACTATATGGAACTTGTGTAGCACTTTCTGTGTGGCGGAAACTTGGTGGAATTATCTGGAGTCCCATTCCTGGTGGAACTTACTGGAAAACTTCAAGACTCCCTAACTTTTCTAAAGGAAGCAATGTGAAATAATGTGTATTCTTTTAAAAATCTATCAAAAAAATTTATTACATGTAAAAGAAAAAAGCATTACCATTTTATATGTTTAATAATTCATTTGATGTACAAAAACTGTAACTGAATTTTTCAATGATATCAAAATATTAAACAAATTCATATATCTTAGATAAACAATGGAACAGTCTTTCACATTTAAGTCCATTCATAAGGGTCATTAAGTACTTCTTTCAACATCAGTTTCCTGGTTTTCTTCACATCACCTATGATCTGCAATATTCATACAAAATTATTATATGATGTCAGAATTATAATGCTTGAATATAACTTAGAAATCTGAAAGATCAGTCAATGTCCTTTAATATACCAATATCAATAAATACTTTCCATGATTTCAGCATTTAATGTATCTCTTTAATATTTAATGCTTTATGATAAGTGAAAAAAAAATAACATAATATAAATAATGTTTTCAGCCTTATTATGTCATTGAGAATATATTACTACATGTATCTCATACTAAGAACCCTGCTTTAAGTTTGATTAGTTTGAGAGAAAACATACCCTTTATAATAACAAATATATTAGGGAGAGATTTTTTTTTAAATTTTGATATTCGACCTAGAAATTGGTTGTAGATCATTGCAGACCCTCCACCCTATTGCACAAAAGCTAGATAACACCAGGGGAGAAATATACTCTGGACTACAATTTTAAATAAAGATAAACAGTAGATTTTGATACTGACCTTTGACCTAGAAAATTAGTCCAAGGTCACTCTTCATCCTCTATCCACAGGCTCTCTGTAGTTTAAGTCTGAGAGAGAAATATGCACAGAACAAGTGATTTCAGATGGAGTGATGGGTAGACACTGTCTTAGGGCATCCACAGAACAGGACCTAAAAATAATGCAATATATAATATATTACAGTATATATACACATGTACTTGTATGTTAATGATTTATCATATGCTGAAGTTGGACACATATGATTTTATCATGGTTTAAGTATACATGTATCTTATGAGTAATTTTATACCGGTATTGCATGTACGCTCAGTTTATTTAAGAAATAAATAACAAGTTTATAAACTTCAATGGGAGAGATACCACAAATGTATACATAAACAAGTAATTTAATTTTTTTTTTACATATATTGACCAACATTATTTACATCCATTCATCATGTTCATGAATTGGCTGATCAAAATTCAGTCAGTTTTAGATCTATATGATATACCATAACAGGGTTGTGGTTAACCACTCGCCCACTCGCCAATGCGATTAAAATTTCAAGTGGGCGATGAAGCAATCAAAATTTGATCGCCCACATGGCGAGCGTCTTGTTCCCGGAACATGACCATGCTTTGTTTGTATTTTTATAATCCACTTCCTTTTTTCATAACAAACACTACGCTAACCATGACTTTTGGTGTCGTGTGCAAACTATTACATTTGTATACGATACAAGCACTTGCGTGACCTAGACGTATGCCCTAGTGAAACCAATAATGTGGCAGTTTATTGATGGGGTAATTAATTAAATAAATTATTTTACCTGTGTTCAATTTGAATGTTATTATTTATTTATGAAAAATAAAGTGTTATATATACAAAGAAAAGCAGCATTTTCAAATATTTTGTTGATGAGGTATGTGGGCCCGTAAATCAAATTGTGGGCCCCTAAACTTTGAAAAGTAAGGGGCCCACATGGCTCCTAAGATGTAAATTGTTAACCACAACCCTGTATAAAGGACTTTCACATTTACAAAAGTTGTTCCCCTTCGCAGAGTCGATCTGGGGTCAACCGGCTAAAGACGCTGTTTTCCCTCTTTAACCATATCAACTTTGAGGGACAATATCTTAGAAATAAAATCTGTATGAACATATTCATTATGATTTTCATGTTGCCACCATACTCTGGCAATACAGATACAGATCGTAATTGTCCAATATTTTTGAAGATTGAAAATATTTAACAAGTAACTTACAAAGGACAAAGTGGGAAAAATGAGCGATACGCCGCCAATTGGAGAAAACTCTTAGGAATGTGAAATTCGTCTATTGGTGATGACAATTCCTGTTTTAATGTCACTGAAAAATTAAGAGACATTAAAAATTTAAACCCTATTGTCATACACGCATGCTGTTTTTTTCATTCATATAACCTTTTAGTATCATAAAATTTACCAAAATTTAATACTTCAAATAATTTCATTGAATATCTATAAAATAAAGGAAACTCTAAAAACTTAGTGACTTGCAGGAATTATTCCTTGAAGAGAAAAAAATCTATCATATTTCATATAAATATGTGCATAATGAGCCTTTTTTATTCATTTAGAACATATGGTATGTGCCTCATTTCCCCAAGAAATTTTCAAAGACAATGGACTATCTGTAAGCAGAAATCATTGCTGTTTACTTACATTGGAAAAATTTATGAAAATAATTATAAATTTCCTATTTTTTTATTTTAAATAATGCTAAAAATAATCTAATCTATTAAAAATAATCTGACTGTAAAATAACATTTTTCATAATCTTAATCTCTGGGCAGATCACTCTAACTTCATAAAACTACCTGATATTAAACTAGAACTCTTTAGTGTGCAGTTTTTAGAGCTTCCTTTAAGTAATCAAAATACTGACCAGCAAGAAATCAGTTAATAAGCATTTCCTTTTTTTCATTTAAATTTTGGAGAGATCTCAGAGTTTTTTCCTGTTCAATTCAGGTTCAAGACGACAAAGTTTTATTGAAGTGTATGTATTAGAGAACTGCTTGTATGTCAATCATAGCAATACACACATAACATGGAGGGGGCAAATTGTTTCAGCCCTAGCTTTTACATAAAACTTCTTGTAGCTCACAGCTGATATACCACAGTTCAGTATTTAAATAAAATTTAGAATCCTTTTTTTTCAGGCAATTGTCATATACATACTAATCATGAATGAATTACCACTTACCAAATGACCACATCCTGAATCATCATACATTTTCTATGATTTTATCTCACTGGTTTTCTTTTAAAGTCACGCAGTTTTCTTCTCTCTGAAATGATAAATTATGTCCAGGTACTATTGCATTCTAATTTAAACTAATTATGTAATAGCATTAGCAACAACCGGGATGGAAGAAAAAATAACCAGAAGTCTCTGTTGAGACTGTAGCTCTACTGGTTTGTACTTATCAAACACTGATGCACAGAATTATGTACCTTAGAATAGTCTACTTGTGTGCCAAGTTATATTGAAATCAGACTAAAATTTAACTTAAAGGAGGAGTAGTGTTTGCAGACAGACGGACAGCTAGACAGACGGACGGATGCCCGACGCATTACTATCGCATAAGCTCTTCTGGTCTCTGACCAGTAGATAAAAACAAGATGCGCTTGTGAAACACAGCAACAAAGTTCGACAAAGCAATTTTTTTTAGCATACAGGTCACAGTCAAGATCACATAATCATTGTCCTTGTTGCCATTTGAAAGCACTTCATTAGTGGAGTATGCATACTAAATATGTAGCCACTATCTCGTATAGTTCTAAAGTATGGTGAAGGTTTAAGTTGACAACAGACACTCAGACAGACACACAGATATACAGTTATGGCAAAAGTTTGAACATTATAACTTGGTATACACACAGCCACTTCGAGGTATCAAGGGTAAAATTCACAGCACAGCGGGACTGCATTTTGACTTCGAGGGATCAAGGGTTTCGAGAGATCAGGAGTTCGAGAAATCAAGAGCAAATCTGCTAAGTTATATAGTGGAAAAAATTGGGACGGGAGACTCACTTCAAGCGATCAAGAACTTCCGAGAAATCGAAGTTCAAGCCATCAAGAGTTACCTGTATATATACAGATATAAGAAGCATGTTATTATTTGCAATTTTGACCTAATGACAGCTAAATCTGTTCAGTAAGACAATACCGTGTACATGTATGTAAGTAGTTTTATTGTGCATGATTAATTATTTATTTTCTTGATCTTCTCAACTTGAAGTGGTCTGTATTTTATTAACAATTTTGTAATAAACATAATGAAACATACCCTTTTCCACATCACATCCTGTATCAGACCTTCGACCAATATCAGCCCTAGGGCCTCTGTCCCTCTGGCTGATATTGGTGTCTCGGGCTAGGATGTGATATGGAAAAGAGTATGTATTATTCGCTATACATTGACCTACTCAGGTCAATAATTGTGAAAAAACTGATAATTCAGCTGATGATTCATTTGCATTTCTTGACATACTATCAATATTAATTCACTATATTAGGCTTTTCTTTTTTTACATCTTCATCTCAACAGGTTAGACATTACAAAAAAAATCTTTTGAGCAGTAAACTATTTCAATAAACAATAAAACAAACCTAATCTCTTCAGAAAAGTGGACACACTTTCACCTACATTCACTTTTTTATGTATATTTTTCCTCCATATCATCGTCATGCATATGATTAAGGGTTATGCTATTCGCTACAATCTATTCCAACTGTTCTGATGAGGATATGCTTCATAAATAGCCGGATAAGCTGAGATTGAAGACACTTTTTGTAAAAATATCGATGCTTTTATCAAAGTTTTGAACCAAAAATATTTAATTTATACCTTGCCATAAGTCGTAAGTTCCAAAAAACAAGAGTTGGCTATCCGAAAAGTCAGAAAACACATGTATTCAAACCGGATGTTCTACAGTCTGAATTTAACTACGAAACCATGCTCGGTGTAACTATTATCATCCGGATAATTTGAGCGGGGTTAAAAATATTTATTTTCTTTAATTCCGAAAAGTATTCATTTATATATAGAGAGAGAACATACATATGGAGCATACATTTTAATAAACATTATAAAAGGCGAAACGTTGCCATTTTACAACATACAGCATGCACTTGCACGGTGCATTTGGGGCCTCCATAATCTAAGTTATGCTATATTACTGTCTCAATTTTTTTCTCTCTCTCTTTCTCTCTGCAATATATACACTTAACAATTTAAAACTTAGGTATCCAACTTTTCAAAATGGCGTCAGAACAAAAGTTGCCTCCGATAGTGAAGATTTGTTGTTGCCAAATATTACAACTATTTACCGTAAAAAGTTAACAAAAATATACGTACACTAATCCTTCATCGTTGGCCATTGCATTTATCACAGTCTTAAAGACACTGGGTGGTGAAACCATCTTAACTTTTCACATTTACCAGCTGTTTACACCTTCTTCTTCGTCCTTCTCGATCCTCCAAAAATGGCGCCTCGGGAAATTGACCAATGAAATAAAGCGCCTACAGAGCGATGCAGGATGGGAAATATAAACTGTTTACATTCACTATGATTAAGTGTGATTATGAGATCTTATATTAGAATTTAATTAAGTTTTCCCCTTTTCATGGAAAAAAAACAGGGGCTCCTAAATATTTTTGCCGATATGATGTGTAGGCCTAGTATATTTAGAAAAAAAAGCGGTTAAATACATGAGGCAAGAGCAGAAAAAAAATGTTTCTTGCTTGACACCTCAACTTATTTGCCTTCGGGATATGGGTTTCGGGGCTTGGTTGTTGGTAGTGGCCGTCCTTGCTGAAAGTAACCCCCCCCCTCTCCCCGCTTCTTTTAACTGTTACATGTATGATTATGAATTTATAATGTCACACCAAAAGATGTTAAATTTTTAAAAGCACATTTTTTTATTGTGAACTTTCCACAGGAATCCTAAAAGGCATGAAAATGAGCTACAATTATAATATGATTATCAAGAACAGTTTTTTTTTATTTCAATAGTGATGATTGAAAAGTTCGGTGATTAATAATTCATTGCTAATAAATTGTTGTGTTTTTTTTTTGGGGGGGGGATTAAATTACTAATTGAACTCCCTCCTTTTCGGGGTTTAATTAGATTTTGAGCCTGCTATCAATATTACTGGTGGACCTGCTATAGACTTTTCTCTAATTGCTACATGTACATTGTACTTTAAACTCCTTGGCCTTTAGCTAAAAAAAAATTCCCACATAATTTTAACACGTAAAATTGTTAAATGAATCAGAATTTTGAAAACCTTTTTCTTGGGAGAGTTATATCTCTAGGTGGAACAAAACTAACATCTTATCAAAGGCAGGAAAATATAACAGTATTTTAATTCAGTATTTTAGTCGTGATTGGTATAAGTGAAGTCATGGGAAAGATTATGTCGAAAGTCATCTATACTCGTTGATGTGCAGGGCTATACTTATGCATACAGCTTTTAGCTGGTCCCGCCCTGTATTTCTTTAAATGTTTTTTTTTTCGTTAAGAAATCTGGTAAGGTATGCTAGTAAAAATAAAATCCCGGTTAGTTTATTACTCTAACGGAAATTACTTTCCTACAGGCCTGAAGATCGAGTCTATTAGTTACGCAAGTTTTTTTTTTTTAAAGAGTAGCATGTCGGCGAATAAAAATAAAGTAGTGTACAACATAGATAAAGAAATGTTTGTTGAAGTATTGACAAACTTCATACCTTTATAGAATGAAATCAACAAAAACTGCACAAAAATACAATCGTGACTATTATACAATGAATTAATTATATAATTAATTCTTTTAATAGATTGCGTTAGCATGCACTGCTTTAAAAGCCATTGTTCTTAAGGAAAACAAAATCATGCAAAATATTATAGACTTTTCTTTATCTAGAGCAATGGCCTTTGGAGAAAAAAATGGCTGAAAATTTTAAAGTTTGTTAAATATAATGTATGTGCATTTAGGACCCTACATTGTAATTTCATGCGAAAAGTGCAGGCGTTTACTACACGGGGATCTGCGTACATATTTAAACAAAAAAAAGGAAAGAAAAAAAAAGTTTTATGTGATGAATTATATTATAAACATTTATCTAATAAATGTCTTTGTAGTACGTTAAATTACAAATTTCACACAAAAACCCATCAACAATATTAAATACAGTTTTGATTTCACATTGATCTATTAACGTCATTCTGATTTAATATAATTACATGTATACACGACGAGAATTAAGATCTATTCAATACCTATAGAAAATTATCTAATTTCTAAAGAGGATAGTTTTATTTTAAATCAGTAATGAAAATTGAAATAAAAATTCTAAATAGTTTGTTCATTCATTGAAATTCTTAAATGTAGGTTATTTTATAAATATGTTCTCTTGTATAACTTTATTTATGGAATATACAATTTTTTAAATGATAAAAGAAACACGAATCATCATCTTAATTTAAAAGAATTTTCGGTCGGAGACTGTGTGTGTACATGCTCAACAACAGCCCATTGTTCCCTTTAGGTACAAAACCGTCTCAATTCACATAGAATATACAAAAAATACACAGTGACAGGTGTCTTCGCGGCACGTGTCTCCACCTGAAATGGCACGTGAGGACAGGTGTCCCTAATTACACAGGCCGACCATAGCGACTTTTTCAAAAGCGTTTTTTTTTTTTTTGGGGGGGGGGGGGGGGCTTATCAAGGAAAAAATGAAAAGCAACCCACCCACCCCCAATAATAAAAATAATAATTTAATAAATTAAAAAAAAACTATATTCACTATAGTAAAATATTAGTATGAAAATACTCAACCCCCAGCCAATTCGATGAATGATTCTTATCTGACCAGTTTATATTAATATATTAATTCATATTAAAACAAAATCTTTATCACTTTCTAAACTTGTATTTAAAAACTTGAAACACTAAAAATGTAATTTTGACAAACCAACTGAAGTATTTTTTTCCTGAAGGATTACCCCGGTATATAAGAAATGCCAACCTCTGGTATCTAACACAAATGCCTGGTAAAGTACCTTGATGTCTTGTGAATACATGTAATTATGTAAAAATAATTCTTCAATGTCAATTGCAAAATATTGGAAAAAAATTTAATTATTTTATTAAGGAACGTCTCATCTGTCCTTAATCAGTAATCGTAACTTGACATATTTCTTTATTTACTTTTTAATCGACCTTTTTAGTAAACCTTTTCTGTAAATAATTTCATTAAATGTACCCTTCCTTAGCTCTTCCATTTTTTCAAAGGAACATTCATCATAGACAGCTTCAAGAAAGTGGGATCGGAAATGATTGATTTCTACATAACTGCATGCACTTACTTTTTTCTATTCCAGTTCACGCATTCTATACGAGTTTACCAAAACTTATGTGATAAATCAAATTCAAAATTAGATTAAATTAAATAAAATTCAGTAATAAATAAAATTAAATTAAAATTGAATTGCGTTCACGGTGCTGAAATATTAAATTAATCACACAGAAATACACATCTAGTTATTTTAACTGTTTGAAGTTAATTATTTTGATACAGCATGTAAACACTTTTGAAATACTTCTATAATTGGTAAAAATATGGTAACATAATTAAATATTTAACTTTTTGTAAAATAAAAGGTAGGTGGGTTAGTATTGAGATATACTTTCAAAGTTTCCCTGCCTGGGAAACATGGGGAAAACTACACATTGGTGGCTTCCATGTCGGGAATCTGTATGGAAACCACTGAGGCATGTTTACATGGTTTCCTATCTTGGGAAACTTACGGGAAACCACAGGTTGGTTGTTTCCATATCGGGAATCTACATGGAAACCACCGGGGCATGTTTCCACGGTTTCCTATCTTGGGAAACTTACGGGAAACCACAGGTTGATTGTTTCCATGTCGGGAATCTATGTGGAAACCACCGGGGTATGTTTCCATGGTTTCCTATCTTGGGAAACTTACGGGAAACCACAGGTTGATTGTTTCCATGTCGGGAATCTATGTGGAAACCACTATGTGGTTTCCATAAAATGGAAACTATATGGAAACTACTGATGTCACGATTCCCATATGTTTCCATCGGGTTTCCAAATTTGGGAAACCTGGCTTTTCATCCTGTGTCTCACTTTTTAGATAACCTTTATTACTGGAAAACGATATGAAATTTGACTAATTTGTTAGGAAAAAAAATGAATTTAGTCCATCCCTTTTCAAGAGAGAGGGCACATGCTGAATACGATTTGTCATCATATTGCTAATTAAAATATAAAATATAAAATAACGCATTAATTTTTTTTAACCTTAATCAGCTGCTTCATAAATCCTTTTCACGAACATAATTACTAGTATGCAAAGCATATCGGAGATATTAGACGATCTAAGATTCTGTGTTATAGGTACCACGTATATATGTATACAATAACGTGTACCATATTAAATTATTGCATTTATCCAATACAAAGTCTAAGGTTGATTCATTTTTTCAGCCAGTTAAATTTCCTTTTATGTTTTGCGATATCAAATTAAAAGATGTCTTGAGGACAGAAGGAGTTGTGATATATAGATCTAATATCATTGCAAAACCACAAAGACTTTTGAAAGATAATACATTAGCTTTTTTTCTATCCCCAACATTGGGCGTCGAAAGGAAATTGAAAGTTGGGGGGGGGGGGGTAAGTGTAGGGGAAACATTATTTATACCTAAAAAGAAAACTGAATGACAAGTGAAAAAAGGATAATATGCTCTTTGAAAAATCAGGAAAGTCCTTTTTCGGGAAGGGGGGGGGGGTTAGGTTAGGTTCGAACTATTTTCAGTACCATTTTTCTCCCATACACTACAACTTTCCCCATTTTTAACCAATACTGCAAGTTGACTGGAAAGGGCAGACCTAAACCTATGCCGCATGTTCAATGTTTATACTATGTCTATCTTTGCACAGCCCCCCCCCCCCCCCCTCCCCGTTCTGAGGCCTATGCCCA